AAATGTTTCACAATGTGAAATATATTGTTTTAACAAGGAGGCTACTACATTTAAGCCATGATATTTTGAAATTGCATATGCTCTGTATGACACATTTCTGAAAATAGTTTGTGGTGGTCTGCAGTGTAGTGTACATTAAAAATCCTGTTTTGGCAGGTAATGAATATTTTTCTGGCAGTGCTGAATTTTGTATTACTGACTACCAGTGGGCATTCAGCTTGATGAGGAAATGATCTCTGTAGTAGAAGCTCATTGTATTTGCTTTGCAATTTATACTGCCTTGTATATGCTGACTACAATTACATTTTTTCTGTAAAGTAGGAGCTGGAGAAAAGACAGTTTTAAAGCAAGATGCTAGAGTTACAATAGTCACCATTCCTCTTTTCTGTGAAGTATTTTCAAATGAGTGATGCCACTGGGGGGCTAATGGATACTCTGATTACATTGCACTTCATATAGCATTCTTCTTTCAAGCAATTAAAATATTTTGGTTTCGAAAAACACAACAGTCCTTGCTTGTTTAATGAAGTAAGTCACTAACCAAATTAAATCTCTGTTGCATTCCAAAAACCCGCTCTGCAGACTTGTGCAGAACTTCAGGAGCTAGGCAGTATTTTCTTCCATGAGGTCTTTTACTGGATGCGGGCTTTACACAAGTGAAAGAGCCTTCGCCTCCAATGCACGGTTTGTTTATTCCTTGGGGAGAATTAACTGCAGTACTTCTAATTAGGAATTAAATTAAACTGTTTGTGCAGCCTCTCTTTTGCGATACTCCATATGTGGTATTAGCGAACTCAGCCCCCCCCCCCCCCCCCCCCCTAAAATTTTATCATGGTATTTGGTTACTGATAAGTTCTGTGACAACTTTTGATGGACGCAAAGTGATAGTGGAAGGCTGTAACTACAAGCTAGCAGGCACTCTGGAGTGTTTTTACAGAGACACACTGTGCACACAGAGACCCCCCAGTACAAAGACAACAGTTGGTTAATTTTGTCGAGTGGCATTTCTAAAACCAGATCACTACTGTGGAGGGGTGAGAAGTTTCTTTCTTTTAGATGAAACTAGAAACTTAAAGGAAGAAGCTGGGCCTGTCATTTGAGCAGAAAATAAAAACATAATGAAACGTTTGAAAACCATTCCAGAATTAATGTGTCTTTTATCATGGGATGCCTATGCAAGACTCAATTTAAAAAAAGCCATTTTAAAAAAGGAGTTCTGTAGCACAGCAGAATAAATGATGCTTACTGAAACTGTAACTGTTTAGTAACTTTGTCTTTGCTCTCTGCTGATAGAGTGAAAGAAATAAAATATCCCTCCATTTTCTCCATCAATGACAATTTATTTACCGAATTTGTCTCAGATGGCTTAGAGGTGCCTCTGCCAGCACTCAGTGCCCTTGATGAGAATGTAAAATTGCAGCAGATCGGCATAATAATAGCAAAAAGAAAACATGGTAACCTTTGCCATATCTCTTAAAACTGAATAAGCACACAACTGAGGCAAAGCTGTTCCTTGCTTTCACTGAATGTTTCCCAGACTAACAGTCGCTTTCTCAGCAGCCTTCTCAAAAAGGGGAGCTGTGGGGGAGTCGGCAGGTTTAGCTGTGAGGCTCAAGGGGCGCGGGGAGTTGCAGGGCAGGAGCGGAGGGTGCTGGCGATGCTCTGGGTCTGGTGTCGGCGCCTCTGCAGACCTTGGCTGAGAGCAAGTGGCAGAGAGGCAGAGCGGTCCCTCAGCACGAGGGGTCCTGCCTTAGGTACGGCTTTTGGGGTGAAAAGGCATTTTTTGCCGGTTCGGCAAGCACTGGATAGATTTGCTTTTGGTAGGGCACCCCCGCTTCTGAGCGTGGGCCTATCTTCACCTTCCAAAACGATTTAGTGTCCCCAGGAGTAGCACAAAACAGTGTATTGATATGAAAAGTGCCAAAATCACTTAAGGATAAGAGTAGCGTGGCCCGTGTAGAAAAGTCAGCTGCAACATGGCCCCAGTCCAGTGAAGTACTTATGAAATGAGCTTTACTTTAAACATGAGGTAGTCCCATTGATTTGAAATTGATCCCATATACGATGCTGATGTATGTCCTAAAACAAATAAATGTTATAATTAACTCTGAAGTAATTTAATTCAATGTAAAGTACACTAAAAGTTTTTAAATTAATTTAAGCTTTCAGAAAGAATAAAATTACTTCCTGAAATACCAATAAGCCTATGTCATAGAAATCATTCATTTGTCACTGCTGTTGTGTTACCTTCCTGCAGGGAGCTCTAAAGAGATGTTTTGCTGATAGGGAAACTGGAAGGAAGAGGTGGGAAGGCCCTCCTTGAGACATGGAAAATATGAAAGAGAAATTTAAGTATCCTTTCTCCTTAGGAAGGTTACATTGTTTCACTACCGTTTTGGGGAGGGCGAGGGATGGGTTTTGAAATAACAAAATAGTAAATGCCCTAAAAAGGCATGTGTATGGCAGTTACCCTACACACCTGATCGTAGGTGTTCCATTAAAAAATACAATAAGGAATATGCAGCTGTTGAAGGAGCAGATGATTTGGTGATGTTCTGTAGAACTGAAATGTGGCTAGGGAGGTTCTGAAGGCGTGTATTTCTTCACTGTTTGGCTTGTCTGGTATGCGAGGAATGTAGTTTCTGTTTTGCAGGACAAAGACCACTTAATGGATTATTATTCATTCTCAAGTTGGAAGGCAATGGTTTAAAATTAGTTCATTGGTCACAGGGGAGTTGGGTCACCAAACAATATTTATGTAAGAATTGTAAAAATAAATAACCTTGGTTTCCAAAATGATGTGTCCTGAGATGTGACACAGGGCTTGTCAGCTGATGTCTCTCTTCTGTTGTTTTTCTGTTGCAGATATGTCGTCTCCTACAATGAAGAAACCTGAAAAGCCTTTATTTAGTCCTACATCTCCCCAGGATTCTTCACCAAGACTGAGCACTTTTCCCCAGCATCACCACCCAGGAATCCCAGGAGTTGCACACAGTGGTGAGGGCTATGGAGGAGGAAGAAATGCCTCCCTTTTGTTTGGTCTCTCCTCCTTTCCCACAGTCTGATAGTGATGCATTTGTGTACGTTTTCTCGGAGACCTGCTACCAACTATCTTACTCTTGAGAATGGAAAGGGAGAAAAATACATTGCAGAGGCTGAGATATCCTTTTTTAATGCCCATTAAACTCGTCTCGGGTAGCTTGACTGTTGCAAGTCACTGGAAAAAACTTAGGATAGCCAATGACTAAAATAAGCTGCAAACTGCATGAAGAAAGTAAAAGAGGAAAAATCATCCTAGTCTTCTCCTTCCACTTGCACCCTGTTCTGTTATTGTTGCTGTAACTGTGTTGTATTTACATGCCATAGTAGGTAGAATTTCATACATAAAGGAAGTCACAATCACGCTGAATATGCGTTACAATGAAGTAGGTAACACTGCTTCTTTTAAATGGTATCTAGGGAGGTTGAGTCCTGATAACTATTTTTCATCCTCTATTTCCTCAAATCCGTAATGAAACTTCACTTAAAGTGAAGAAGACCCTTTCAGTGTGATGGTCTGCAAGTTATCGTGAGGGCTTATCAGGAATAACAGGAAAATTCCAGCAGCATGGTCTGTTTAATTTTAGAGGTGAGAGTGACCCTAATTCTTCAGATTAGGGTTTGGCACTCAGAAATCTCTCAGTGGCTCATCCTATCGCCTTGCAAACTGTATATAAAAGGATGCATTACTTGGACAGGCATGGGTGACTTGAGGAGCAAAGCAGATGTGAGCATTCTTTCTTCTTTTATGTAACGTGTAGTTTTTGCTTTAGAAAAATTCTGCTTCGTAATTTCCCTGTGATTTTGAGTTCATATCTTTCAATTTCCATGTAAAGATTTTTTTTCCCTTATCATCCACTTACTCTGTGATCTGAAATTCAGTTTGGACTCTGAAACTCAGTTCTGGTCTCTGTAACAATTCCACCATCAGAAAATACTTAATCACATCAGGGATGGTGCGTGAGACAGAACAGATAAATTTCCGCTCACTTGTGTTTGTTTTGCACATCTCCCACATGTCAGAGCAGTAACGAATGTTTTGTGATTAAATTGAGATGATATGACTGTCAATTCAAGTAAGATACATCGGTCAAATAAGAAGCTTCTAGAATTATTTTTTTACCCTATACTTATGTGTAGATTGTTATATTTACTTTTGTGTATAATTTTAAGGTGTACTTAAGTGACAATCGCAACCTAATTCTGTATGGGAGCAATTTATTGGCCGGGAAACCTGATTTCCATTCTGGTTACCCTGTTGTGTTATCTCGATGAGCAGTGATTTGAGATTTTCAGGGTTTTGATTGCAAGGTACAGCAAGTGTGAAACATTCCTACTGTCATTTTCACTAGGCTAACTTTTACTTGTCCCCAGCTCAAGAAGGGAGAACCATTTAAAAAGTAAGCTGAAAAGAACCTGAAGATGTGAGAAGTGCCCTTTAGATGTGTAATAAGGGTGGAATGTGGATTACTGCCTGGTGTAGTAGAGTGATGCTCCCGCTTCCAGCTCGAGGAGGCTGCAGCAGCAGGACATTCTGTACATTCCTTTCACTGGGAAAACATTGCTGCTTGCTTAGACATTACATATAGTCTATAGATAGAGAAGTGTGTGTTTTGTAGGGGCTGGGGAGAAAGAGAATGCAAAGAAAAATATGTATAGGATAGATCCCTTTTTGTTTGCCAGAGATATTTTCATTGGATGGAATGGTTTCCCAGGCCCTGAAGTTGAACGTTCATTAGCATTTTCACAAAGGTTAGCTAATTATTCATGGCATTATTGCTTAGTAGTTATTACCCCCTCCCCACATGAGGCAGGTAGAGTACAATACAGTTGAGGGATCACTAGCTGTTTCTTAGGACACGGTGACTTTGTTCTCCTCTGTTGGATTGCTGGGGATAAAAATGTAGGTTTTTATTTATTTAGTAAAATACTTGTTTTATGTGTTTGGGCTCCAGAGAGGAAAACTTTGTAAGTGGGATATCTTTTGTGCTGGATAATCATTATTATGTTTAAGAAAAAAAGAAATAATATGATCACATATCCCACAAAACCAAAACAAAACGTAGAGTTTATGAATTTGGAACAGCAACCCTTCCCATTGCCTGAGATGGTGTGAGAGGAGGACACCGAAGTTTTTCGCTCAAGTACCATGAAGCAAGAGTACAGTGTACTGTTTTATAACTGACTTTATAACTGACTGTTTTATAACTAACTATTTTTCTTGCTATAAAGCAGAGGTGAAGAATTTTAGATGAAATTTTAGAGATGAAAATTTTTGATGCAAAGTAATTTTAATTTTATTTTATCTCCTTCAGTCATCTCAACTCGAACTCCACCTCCACCTTCACCACTGCCGTTTCCAGCACAAGCTATTCTCCCTCCTGCCCCATCTAGCTACTTCTCTCATCCAACCATCAGATACCCTCCTCACCTGAATCCTCAGGATACGCTGAAGAATTACGTACCTTCCTACGACCCGTCCAGTCCGCAGACTAGCCAGGTACTGTAAAACACTGTGAACGCTCCAAAAGAAATCCTGTGAGGAATGCGCATTTAGGCCTGATATCTCCCTAGTTCTGGTCTCAGAGCAAGCCGGGAGGTGGAATATGAGTGATTCTGCGAGTTTTCCGATTGAATGTGGTTGAATAAAGGGAGCAGATTAGTTATATCCGCTAGGGAGGCCGGGTTGCTGCCGGCAGGCGCTGCGCTGCTGCTGCGGGGCTGAGCCAGTGGTGCGCCGGTGTGCACAGGCACGCGCGCACGCGTGCGTGTGGGCCGAAAGGTGTATTCGTAGACCCACACTGAAGCTGAGCAGTAGTGGGGCAATACTTTTTCTGTTTCACAGGCACCTGGCAAATCTTTGCCCAGATGCAAAAACATGACTGTGGTGGGTACAGCACAGGCCCACAGACTTGTTTGTCCTTTGTTTTGTGGAGAACGTGCAACAACAGTTCAGCTTCTGGCTGCTGTGCTGTTTCAGACTTGTTTCTGATATGGAAAATTAATGTGGTTTTCATTAGAGAGGTAATTTGCAACAGCTCTGTGCAAAACTGCTTTCCCTGATGGTATCGGCACATCGCATTAACTTGTGATCTGCACTGTAGGATAAGTTGCAGCTGAGTCTTGCTTGGTCTATCAATACCTGGAATATTTCCAGTGTCAGTGTAATGTAATCTTCACCGATCAGTCTGGAATCTGGTTTTGCTTCCTCATCTGAAATGCTGCTGTGGAGTCCTGTAGCTTGTGCTATAGTGTGTTTCTGGGAGCGTCTTGGGAATATAAACTGAAGCAACAGGGCTCAGGTTTTCCTGCATCCAGGAACTAGTCTTCTTTGGAAGGGCTATCTTATCAGGGATGAAGGGATTGTTGTGATAACTCTGTTTACAAACACTGACAGGCCCTTTACTGTGCATTTCAGGCACAACAGTGATAGAACTTGAGGCTGAATCAAGGTTTCTGTGTTGAATAACAGATGAGGCCCCTCTGGGCTGCCCAGAAGCTCACTGTGGCTGTTGTCCCCACTGGCTAACGCTCTGGTCTGGCTGCACGACTTTGTGCGTATGTGAAAAATGTGTCGATCCATAAAGTTATACCCGGCTTTGAAGGGAAAAGCCTGAAGGGTGTGATTTTTGTTGGTTACAATATCAAAGCAAGTTAAACCGAAAAAGTGAAAGTAGAGTATGTCGGCTTTAAACTACACGTTGCTGTCTGTGTGTGGATTAAAAATCTTTTGGTTCCATATAGCGTTTTTGCTGAGACTCAGCTGGGAGCGGTACATGCAGGACCTCGTTTTAATGTGTGTAAAATTTCTATGAATAACTGAAAATAGCTGTCTAATTAAAACATCCATTGAAAGTCCTCAGTGTTAATTCAGTGCAGAAAATCTTAGAGTTCGATTGGATTTTTTTTTAAACTGATGTCTTAATTAGGCACTATTAAGGGAAAAATTATGCAAATTAAAATCAGGCCCTTAGCGTTATGCATTTTTTTAATTATTCACTTCTTGTTTTACTTACACATTAAAAGAGCAGATTAGGTGATAATCTCTCTGAATTGTTCATAATTTTGCTTCATCTCACCAGTGGAAAAAAGCAACATCTGAATGAAGTATCTGACTTTCTTTCAGACATTTGACAAATGTATTATCTTGCGATTTTAATATTGCAAAGTGTATTAATTGAGAAGAAGCTGTTTCAACTCTTTTCCCAAGAAGAACTTACTTTTTTCTCTTATCCGCAGTTAAAAAATTAATCTCTTAACCTTAAAAGATAAGTTTAACTCTGCTGATGTTTGCAGAGTAGCGGCAAACTGAAGACATTTCCTAGTCTTGTGTTGTGGCACCAGAGGGAATAACAGGCCAAACGGTCTGCAATTTACTACTTTAGTCACTTTTCATAACCTTTATATTAGGGTAATGTTTTTCATTTAATTTGATGTTTAATTTAGTTCCTGAGAAGAGGGGACGGGGTTAAACAACACCAAATATGGGATTCTGCTCATCTGCACCAGCAGTTCTCTGTGATTTATTATCATTAATCACTATTATTGATAGAATCTCTTTTAAATTTAAATCTTTAAAGTTCACCACTGAGATATGCCCTACATTGGAGGCTCTGCATGCCCAGTCAAAAATCTCTCCTAATAGAAAAGTTACATGATGGCTGTACAAAACAGTAAAGTAGCAAGAATAATTTTTTTTCCCTAGGAAAAGAAGAAGCAGTTGTCTGTGAAGTTTCAGTGACAAAGGGGAATTGTTCTGATACAATGGCATGCGTTGAGCCAAACCAGTTTTTTTTTTTTCCTAAATAAAACATGAATTTTTATTCAAACAAATTTAATTATTATAAAATTCAAAACTGCATCTGTAGGAATACCACATCAAATTTAATTATACTTTCTCACCTCAAAACATATTCATTTGGATTTCAAAAAGAGAACTATGATGATAGTTTTAATTTCAGCTTTAGAAATAGAAAGAATGGATGCCCTGACAGCATTTACCTAAAATGAACCATTCCTCCCCAACATCTTTCAGTAATACACTAATTTAGATTGTTACGACAAGCAACTGAGATGCCTTGTACTCCCCACAGCAATTTTGAGATTAATTACATTACTGCTGCACTGATTATAGTGAGACAGTTATGCTATTCAATGGAATACTTTCAGTAAAATTAGTTTAAAGATATAGAGCTCCCATAGGTTTCCACAGGGGGAAACAGTGGCCAATTTTCTTGACATAATGTTAAATACTTCAAATTATGTGTGATGAACAGTCAGGAAGTTCAAACAGGCCCTTTGGCTGCAGTGAAAAGTGATGCAACAATGGATGATCCTAAACAAAAGAGAGCCATGGCTTTCAGTTTTGTGTGTATCTGTTTTTTATCCCCTGTTCAGCCTGGAGAATAAATAAACAAATATGTTGAACAGAAATGAACCTGGTTACGTGTACAACTGGACTTACCTTGACCTAGTAATCTGAAAGTTTCCTAAGAGTTCCAGAATTGCTGTACTTGCCTCTAAGTAACTAATTCTGCTG